TGGGGAATGTGATGTAAGGGGGGACTCTGATGGGGACTGTGATGTAAGGGGGGACTCTGAAGGGGAATGTGATGTAAGGGGGACTATGAGGGGACTGTGATGGGGATGTGTATAAGGGGGGACTATGGTGGGGAATGTGATGTAAGGGGGGACTCTGATGGGGAATGTGATGTAAGGGGGGACTATGGTGGGGAATGTGATGAAAGAGGGGACTGATGTGATAGGGACTGTGATGGAATACTAGTATAAGGGGGGGCCTCTCATGTGGACCCTGATGTAAGGGGGGACTCTGATGTGGACTGTGATGTAAGGGGGGACTCTGATAGGGACTGTGATGATGTAAACAGGGGACTCTGATGGGTAAGGGGGGATTCTGATGAGCAATGCAATGTAAGGGGGGGGCTCTGATGAGGAATGTGATGTAAGAGGGGACTCTGATGGGGACTATGACGTAAGGGGGGACTCTGATGAGCAGTGCATTGTAAGGGGGGGCTCTGATGAGGAATGTGATGTGAGAGGGGACTCTGATGGGGACTATGACGTAAGGGGGGACTCTGATGAGCAATGCAATGTAAGGGGGGGGGGGGGGGGGCTCTGATGAGGAATGAGCTGTAAGAAGGGACTTGATCGGAGACACTAGTATAAAGGGGGGGGGGGGACTCTCATGTGGACCCTGATGTAAGGAGGGAAGTTCGGAGCCCCCCTGATATAAAATAATGTGTTACTTATACTTTTATTTTCTCCCTCAATTGGACTTCATTCGATAATAAGTGAAGGGCAGTGGGCTGTGAAGCTGTGCCGCCTTCCTCTGGGGCCCCTGTGGCCCTTCCAGATAGCAGTCTCAGAACTAACCCCCAGAATCACACTGAGCCATCGTGCGGGAGTCCTGGTCGTGTTCTGAGGACCCCGGGCCATGGGAGTTCTGGGAAAATATGTATGACCGCCGAACACCACCGGCCTCTATTGGCAGCAGAAAGACATCTGTTTCCTCTCGGAACGATCCAACTGAGGAACAATTTTAGTGTTCAAAAGAAGAGAGCTGTTCGGTCTTTTTTTTAACCCCTTCCTGCCCAGCCCCGGCGTCCCTTTAATAGGCTATGTATGCCTGGGATGGGGGAGGGTGGAGGGGGACCGCGGATCATGTGACCACTGTGATTGGCTGTCACAGCGGTCACACAATTGTCAGCCAGTCCCGCCAGCAACTGATCGTCAGTGGGGACCATGAGCTGTCTCTGACAGCTCAGTCTCTCTGCTGTGAGCGCGCTCCCGGCACAGAAACATCAGCCACCCAGCGAGACATTTGTGCGAGGTGGGGGCCTTAAAGCCCGCCCCTTTTTGAAGCCGCACATATGTGTTGCATGGGGCAGTAACAGGGTAAAATAAGAAGGACGCCAATTAAACACATAAAACGATCAGCATAGTACAATCATAGATAATGCCGTTTTATTACATGGGTTAGTCCCTCCCACAGAGAAAGAAGGACGGAAGAAGAGAAAAAGAGAGTCTGTTGGATTGGGAAAGACAAACTAAAAGAGGAACCCCCCTACTGGACAGATCGGCACCTGTGCACATGTGGTGGTGTGTGGTGGCGCAACATTTACTAGGTTAAACCGCAGTGGTTAGGAGGTGACATATTGTGTCCTTGACACCTGTCAAACAGCCTCATATTGGTTTTCAAAGGGGCAGCAAGGGCTGGGGCACACGTGAACAAAGCTTTCGTTTGGACCTGCATCTAAACTGCTGCGCATACACAGATGTGCCTAGGCGTGGTGGCGCAACATTTACTAGGTTAAACCCAGTGGTTAGGACGGTGACATATTGTGCCCTTGACGCCTGTCCAACAGCCTCATATTGGTTTTCAGAGGGGCAGCAAGGGCTGGGGCACACACGTGAACAAGGCCTTAGTTTGGACCTGCATCTAAACTGCTGCGCATGCACAGATGTGCCTAGGCGTGGTGGCGCAACATTTACTAGGTTAAACCCAGTGGTTAGGAGGTGACATATTGTGCCCTTGACGCCTGTCCAACAGCCTCATATTGGTTTTCAGAGGGGCAGCAAGGGCTGGGGCACACGTGAACAAGGCCTTAGTTTGGACCTGCATCTAAACTGCTGCGCATGCACAGATGTGCCTAGGCGTGGTGGCGCAACATTTACTAAGTTAAACCCGGTGGTTAGGAGGTGACATATTGGGGTTGATTTACTAATGGACAATAGACTGTTGCAGTTGCAGTTGCTCCAGACCTTAATAAATGAGCAGAAGCTCTGCTGACTTCCATCATCCAATCACGTGCAAGCAAAAGTGCTTTTTTTTTCGATTTCCTTGCACGTGATTGGGTATTCCTTGCAAAGTGAATCTTTATCTCATTTACGAAAGTCTGGAGCAATTGTACTTTGCAGAGTGCAACTGCACCTTGTATGGTGCACAGCCTACTTGCCTTCAGTAAATTAACCCCAGTGTCGCCTTGCTGCCTGTCAAACACGTTTGTGAATTGCTTTTCAGAGGGGCAGCGTGGGCAGGCACATGAGAACAAGTCTGACCCAGCAAGGCTCAAGTGTAGACTTGCATCTAAACGGCTGCACATGTGCAGATTGGTGATGAGCCGAACCCCCCCCCCCCCCCCCCCTTGTTCGGTTCGCAGTCGAACATTTGAACCTAACAAACGTTCGACCACTAACTTCAAACGGAGGAGGCAATTCACTAAGCGGCATCTGACCGCACAGCTCCGAAAATGCGGCAGGAGTTATATTATGAGGCCAGGCGGTATTTTAGTGGTGAAAACACGTGTTAATGTTTCAGCTGACAGCGGGGTCCCGGCTGACAATGAATGTAAAAAGAATTGTCGGCAATTAAAAAAAAAAAAAAAAAAAGCCCCCTCCCCCCATCCATACCAAGCCCTTTGGGTCTGGTTTGGATTTTGAGGGGAACCTCCACGCTCAAAAAAACATAGATGTGAACATGTTCCATAGGAAACCATGGTGAACGGACTGCAGTGCGTTTCTGCAAAAAGCACTAAAAAAAATGCATTGATGTGAACGCAGCCTAAACCGGGGAAGCGCGGTTTGTTACATAACATCTAATGCAATATTTTTCCCTGTATTTGAAAAAGGATTTACAAGAGTTTGCTCACGGACTTCTCCAGAGCTTCCCCCATCCTCTGGAACTCTCCTCCCCAATTTTTCAGACTATCTCCTACTCTGCTCACTTTTTAGGCGATCTCTGAAAACCTCTCTCTTCAGGGAAGCCTATCCTGCCCTCAGCTAATAATGAAATCTACTATTTCCTCCTACCATGCTCATCTCATCGCCAGTACTTCTCTAGAGCCTCTCCATCCTCTGGAACTCTCTCTTCAAGCCTATCCCCAATTTATCAGACTATCGCCTACTCTGCTCACTTTAGGCGCCTACTCTGAATACCTATCTCTTCAGGGGAGCCTATCCTGCCCTCAGCCAATAAATGGAATCTTCTATTCCTCCTACCATGCTCATCTCCAGGACTTCTCTAGAGCCTCCCCCATCCTCTGGAACTCTCTCTATCCCAATTTATCAGACTATCGCCTACTCTTCTCATTTTTAGGCGATCTCTGAAAACCTATCTCTTCAGGGAAGCCTATCCTGCCCTCAGCTAATAATGAAATCTTCTATTCCTCCTACCATGCTCATCTCCAGGACTTCTCTAGAGCCCCCCTTCCTCTGGAACTCTCTACCCCAGTCTATCAGACTATCGCCTACTCTGCTCACTTTTAGGCGATCTCTGAAAACCTATCTCTTCAGGGAATCTTCTACTCTTCCAACCAGTCCATCCCCCACAGTTACTACTTACACTTAGATTGTAAGCTCCAAGGATCAGGGCCCTCCTAACCCTCTTGTATTGAACTGTATTGTTGCTGTATTGTCTCCTGTTATATTGTAAAGCGCTGAGCAAACTGTTGGCGCCATAAATCCTGTATAATAATAATAATAATAATAAAAGTCTTTCCCAAGCTGAGATGACAAATCATTTGATGATAAATGAGAAATTAGTTTAGGACTTCCAAAGTCCTTAAGACTGAAGCCCCTGTAGACGTTAGAACCAAGAAAACGTAATCCGGTTCCCATTCATTAAAAGATTTACATAGAACTAGCTTGAGTAAGTGAATTTATCTGGATATCGGCCTCATGCAATCCTCCGGACAGCGACATGTGGTGTGACAGAGGGAGAGTCCGATCTTTTAGAGTAGTGGTCACCAAACTGTGGCCAGTGGGCCAGATGCGGCCCTTTGCTTACCTTTATCTGGCCCTTGGGGCACTGCTCCTCTCATTGGGAAGAAGAAGGAAGAAAGAAGAAGAAGAATTCCAGTCCGCTATTATATTTTATATGAAAAGTCTTGCGGTTGCAACAAATGTATCCATTTGTATCCGAATAAAAACATCTGTATCCGAAATGGATACAATGTTTCAACCGCAAGACTTTTTCATGTCAAATATAATAGCGGAGCTCTCTGCAGGGACAGAACTAATTATGGGGTTAAATGTCGGACGTAGACGGGACGAAAATCGACCGATTTTTTTTTACCGTTGTATGTGGTAACGTCGGCTGATTGAACGACCGATTTTTCGTTTTTATTCTTAAAAAAACGGCCGGTTTTCGACCCGTCTATGGCCTGCGTAAGTGTCCATGAGGTGATGTGTGGAGTGTAAGAAGACACGAGTGTGAAGGACCTATGGGCTGTTTGGCTATTTGTGACCTTTTCTGGAGGCCTGGAGCAAGTGGGGACTATAGACCTTGTTGTGGGACAAGTTCACAAGGGCGGTGAGCCGAAACTTTTGTTTTATACCAGAACTTGTGGACTGTTTTTGTTTGTTTTATAGCTAAAGGTAGGTTTCTTTTGTAATACGCACCCCCCCCCCCAAATAACACATGGGGTATATAATTTTTGCCCCCCCCCCCCCCCATAATAGCAAACAATGTCACATACAGTTTTTATAGAAAACAAAGCAGAAGACACACGGAAGACACTTACTGTTTTTTGAGACATGTCATTGGACTGACGTTGTTGGCTCTAAAGTTATGCGTGATAGATCTGAGCCCTTCTACCCATTGCTGGAAGACAGACAAACACACAATACAGATAAGGAAGATCGCTCCATTGAGGACACATACCGAGCAACAAAGGCAACACATTTACAGATCATGTCACAATTGGAATGTTGGTTTACATTCAGCTGCTACACATTTGTTTTCCTCCAAAATAACCAAATTCTCAGGACAGAAGAATAACAAGTGGAAGCGATATGCAGACACAACACAGGTCCTGTGCCAGACGTCATTATGTGTCACATAAACACAAGAGGACTCCCAACTGTGACAAAGTGCGACGTTCCTGCCCATTTATTTATATCAGGGGCCCCCAAACTAGGGCCCGGACCACTACAAGATTTGATCTGGTTCCTAACTAAGGTCAGTGGCATATCATCAATGGGCACTGATTGGGGATTAAGGTCTGCGGAAGCTGCCTATGGCCTCCACTTCTGATGCAAGGGGAAACTCTGATGTAAGGGGGACTGATGGGGAACCTCATGTAAATGGGACCCTGATGTAAGGGGGGACTTTCATGGGAACCCTGATGTAAAGGGGAGCTTTGATGGGGACTCTGATGTAAGGGGAGAACGCTGATGTAAGGGGGGACTGATGGGGAACCTCATGTAAATGGGACCCTGATGTAAGGGGGGACTTTCATGGGAACCCTGATGTAAAGGGGAACTTTGATGGGGACTCTGATGTAAGGGGAGAAAGCTGATGGGGACCCTGATGTAAAGGGGAGCTCTGATGTAAGGGGGGACTGATGGGGAACCTCATGTAAATGGGACCCTGATGTAAGGGGGGGACTTTCATGGGAACCCTGATGTAAAGGGGAACTTTGATGGGGACTCTGATGTAAGGGGAGAAAGCTGATGGGGACCCTGATGTAAAGGGGAGCTCTGATGTAAGGGGGGACTCTGATGAGGAACCTAACTGAAAAGAGGACTGATGGGGAACCTGATGTAATGGGATACTCTGATGGGGACTCTGAGGTAAAGGGGGACTCCAATGGGGACACTTATGTATGGGGGGATTCTGATGGGGACCCTGATATTGGGGGGGGGGGGCTGTGATGGGAACCCTGATGTAAAGGGGGACTCTGATGGGGAACCTAACTTAAGCAGGGACTGATGCGGATCCTGATGTAATGGGGGACTCTGATGTATGGGGGAACCCTGATGTAAGTGGGAACTCTGATGTAAGCGGGGACTGTGATGGGGAACCTAACTGAAGGGGGACTGATGGAGAACCTGATGTAATGGGGTACTCTAATGGGGACTCTAATGGCAACCCTGATGAAACAGGGCTTTGATGTAAGGGGGGAGTTTTATGGGAACCTGATGTAAAGGGGAACTCTGATGGGGACCCTGATGTAACAAGGCTCTGATGCATGCAAGGAGGGACTTTGATGGGAACCTGATGTAAGGGGGACTCTGATGGTAACCATGAGGTAAGGGGGACTCTCATGGGGACTCTGATGTAAGAGAAGTCTCTGATGGGAACTTTGTTGGGAAAACAAATGTGAAGGGTAGTCAATGGGGAACCTGATGTACAGGGGACTCTGTTAAAGTAAATAGAAAAAAAAGTCTAAAAGTGAAAACTAATGCAGACACCACGTGTAAGGATGGATACGCTGTGATTAATGACATTTTTGTTTTTCAGGTTTAATACGCCTTTAATTTTTTGTTTTACACTGTTGTCGGTATAGAGTACAGCAGACGTGAATTTTATTGCATGCAAAGAAAAGTAATGTGCAGTTACCCCAAAATCAATCACATTTGCTTTCCTTTGTCCGGCTACATAAACTAATATAGGATTAGTGACTGGCTGCTTAAATAAAAGACATTCTGCACATTCTATTAATAAAAACATTTAATAACATTTCATATAATCATCACCAAAACACTCAGCAACTAAACATTCCTGAGCAATGAGGTCTGCCAAGAAAAACTGTAATATTAGTAAGGAAAAAGAATATTCGCCGGTATAAGTGTCACATGAAGCACTGGTGGGATGATGGAAAACTGGGCGAATCCTGGGAAGTGACAGTTGGTATCCGACATCCTTTGGAATTGGAAGTTAGGGCAGGCAGTACAAATGCTGTGGTAAGAATAGAAGCGGAGGGGAGGACAGGTAGCACAAGCGCAGTGGTCAGAAAACAAGCAAAAGGACAAGTAGTAGAGGTGAAGTAGTCAGAAGATGTAGCTGAGGTCAGAGAATCAGCATAGGTGCGGTGGTCAGAAGATGTAGCTGAGGTCAGAGAATCAGCATAGGTGTGGTGGTCAGAAGATGTAGCTAGGTCAGGAGAATCAGCATAGGTGCGGTGGTCAGAAGATGTAGCTGAGGTCAGGAGAATCGGCATAAAATATGTAGCTGAGGTCAGAGAATCAGCATAGTGCAGTGGTCAGAAGATATAACTGAGGTCAGAGAATCAGCATAGGTGTGGTGGTCAGAAGATATAACTGAGGTCAGCAAATCAGCATAGGTGTGGTGGTCAGAAGATATAACTGAGGTCAGCAAATCAGCATAGGTGTGGTGGTCAGAAGATATAACTGAGGTCAGCAAATCAGCATAGGTGTGGTGGTCAGAAGATATAGCTGAGGTCAGAGAATCAGCATAGGTGCTGTAGTCAGAAGATGTAGCTGAGGTCAGGAGAATCAGCATAGGTGTGATAGTTAGAAGATGTAGCTGAGGTCAGAGAATCAGCATAGGTGCGATAGTTAGAAGATGTAGCTGAGGTCAGAGAATCAGCATAGGTGCGGTAGTCAGAAGATGTAGCTGAGGTCAGGAGAATCGGCATAGGTGCAGTAGTCAGAAGATGTAGCTGAGTCAGAGAATCAGCATAGGTGTGGTGGTCAGAAGATGTAGTTGAGGTCAGGAGAATCGGCATAAGTGCGATAGTTAGAAGATGTAGCTGAGGTCAGAGAATCAGCATAGGTGTGGTGGTCAGAAGATATAGCTGAGGTCAGAGAATCAGCATAGGTGTGGTGGTCAGAAGATGTAGCTGAGGTCAGAGAATCGGCATAGGTGCAGTAAGATGTAGCTGAGGTCAGGAGAATCGGCATAGGTGCAGTAGTCAGAAGATGTAGCTGAGGTCAGAGAATCAGCATAGGTGCGATAGTCAATGTAGCTGAGGTCAGAGAATCGGCATAGGTGCGATAGTCAGAAGATGTAGCTGAGGTCAGAGAATCAGCATACAGTGACAATAGGACAAGGCCAGGTCATAGTACAAATGACAGGTGCGGTGCTCAGAAGACAAGCTGAGGTCAGGACAGGCAATACAAGTGTGCTGATCAGAAAATAAGATGAGGTGAGAGCAAGCAGCACAAGTGCTGGGGTCAGAGGACAAGCTGAGGTCAAGGCAGGCAGTACAGGTATAGACGTCAGAAGATAAGCTGAGGTGAGGGCAGGCAGGTACCAGCGAGGTGGTCATTGGACAAGCTGAGGTCAAGCAGGCAGTACAGGCACAGTAGTCAGAAGACAAGCTGAGGTGAGGGTAGGCAGCACAGGGGAGGTAAGAATAGGACAAGCCAAGGTCATAGCAGAAAGTACAGTGTGCTGGTCATAAGCAAGTGGAGGTCAAGACAGGCAGTACAGGTGTGGTGGTCAGGAAATAAGCTGACGTAATGGCAGGCAGCACAGTTCCAGTAGTCATAACAGAAGCAGAGGTGAGGGTGTGGTGGTTGGAGGACAAGTTCCTAGCAGAAAGAACCAACACAATGGTCAGAAGGTCAGCTGAGGTCAGGACAGGCACAAATGTGATGGCCAGAAAACAGTGCGATTAGCATGCACACATGGCAGAAGGAAAGACTAATCATGCTAGCTGCAGTAGGGTATTTGCTGTTATAAAAGTGAAATATTTAATATATAGAAATATATAGTGGTCATCACATTTCCGTCGTCCCGTGAACTATTGTCCCACCTGCTCTCTGTTCTGGTTTGTGAAGCTTGTTTGGATCTATTAACGTGTTTTTTTGCCAGCCAAAAAAAAAAAAAAAACAGAAAGTCTGGTCTCTGACAAATCTCGGCAATTTCATTTTCCAAATGGAAGTTGAAAGCGGCTCGTCATCTAGCTGAGTGGATGTTAATAGCACAATACATGTTAATAGCGCCGGGAGAACTTGGTGTACTTGTTTTCTTGGCAGATCTGCAGATCCCAGCCTTCTAGAGCCACGAGGAAAGCCAGAATCTGAGAATTCGATATTTCAGGCATTCCTCCCCTAGGCCTAGAAGGGAATTCCTGTTCTTTTCCAGAAATAGCAGGGAGATTGTATGATGTACTAAACCCATTAGCGTGGGGAATTTCGTTTTTTTTTTTTTCCCCATTTCTGTGTTTGGTAAAATAATGCAGCTGTACCCATGAAGGGAGTACGGTGCATCGATGATGTGCAATGTCAGTATCTCCTGGGAACCATCACAACCCACCAACTGAAATCCGATTGGTAGTGAAGAGGGTGATTTAGGCAAATAGGCTGTAAGCAAAGGAAAATTCTCCTGCAAAGAGAGCAGGCTGTTTGCCTTTAGTAAATGAAGCCCTACAAGTAGTGCATTTTGAATATATTCTCTATGGCAAATCCAATGCACACAATGGAATGGAAGAATGATCTGCATTGAAGTATACAACAAGCCTGTAGAGTCAAATCATACATAGTGCAAAACAATACGGTGCATGCCGGAGTCCTGCAGCAGAACAGCAGCCTGCAAATGACCTGCAGGCACTCTAATGGAGCAAGCTGAAGGCATCGGGCAGGACCACTGAGGGGGGTTTAGGAAACCTTCCTGTACAGGGCCCCCTGCTGACCTAATGCAGCCCACTGTGGGCAGCTCAGAAGCTTCCATCCTCCCATCCCGCTGGTCCCCCCACTCTCTGCTCCTCATCTCTCTCTGACTACAGCTCCCAGAATCCACCACACCTTGCATGGACATGTCCGGCGGGCTCACAGCAAGAGAGGTTCAGAGCTATCAGTCGTGCACAGCAGCACAGGGCAGGGGGTGCAGAGTGAGGTCTAACAGGGATGCAA